ATAAAACATTGGGCAATTTAGAGAAATGATCCCTATTTAAAAGGATTCTTAGGTGCATAAAAGGATGCATTTCAGGCTTTGTAAGAAATAGTGTACTCCTCTAACATTCTCTGAAAATATGCTTCTGTGCATAGATGTTAAAAACTCAATAAACTTGCCAATGTCCCCAGAGAATACTCCAACGGGGGTGTTGGTTGCCCAAGGAAAGTGGGGGGGACAGCAGAAGGCTCCACATATTAGATGGATGTTTTTCATGGGCTGGCACCTATACACTCCCACTCCCTTCCTCCTGTCTTTGCCAGGCTTTTGTAATCACAAAATCATAAAAAAATCCTTGGCAAGCTGGCCCATTCCTCCCTCCGACACTAGAGCATCTCAGAGCTCTGTCTTCTCACTTGTCTCCTAAGGTTTCAGTGCCACCTGTCTGCTGTTGCAACTGGACTCTGCCTGTCCAACTACTGCATCTAACTGTTTCAGAGACCTCACCTCTTGGTGAATGATAATAACAGCACAATCATGGTGATGACAAACACGTGTATAACTTTTACAATGTGCTGAACACATTGTAAGAACCTCACATATGTTAACTCATCTAACTCTCATGAAAGCACCAGAGAAAGCCATTGTTACTGTCATCTCTAAGCAGTTGATCCACAGAGAGGTTTGGTAACTCTTCTAAGATGCACCAAGATGGCAGAGCCATCTGGGCTCCAGAGCCTGGGTCCTTGCTGCTGTCTATACTGACCCTGTATACTCAGACTACACGTCAGAAACAGGACGTGTTTCCTATGTTCCTCCATGACTCGATTCTCACCACCATCCATTCACTTGTTGGAAATCTACAAGTCACCTTGGAATTCTCTTCTTTTGCTACTTCAAGTAGTTCAACTGACAAATCTTATTACTTCTACATATTTTGAAAATCTGTTTAATTGCCTCTTTATTCCCTCTGATCTATTCTCTATAGTACAACCAGAGAGTTCTTCTAAAAAAAAAAAATCTGATCTTGCCTCTTGGATCTGCAAGTCTTCAATAGATCCTGTTGCCCATTGGATAAATCCAAAATTCTTAACACAGCCCACAGGCCCTCTGCAACTTCTCATACCCACTTCCAAAGCCTTGTCACCCCTCAGTGCCCCTCTTACCCTCTCCCCTTATCTCGCCTTTCCTTCCCTTTCTCTCTGCTCTGGGCCTTTACAGAACCTCCTTCCCAAGTTCTTGCTCAGAGCTAACATCTCTGACTAACACTGCAATGGATCTCTCTGCTGTGTAGTCCCTGTCTCCATAATATAGTATTCATCACACCTTAGTGGAACTTGTCATCTCAAGTCTATGTTCCCAATTGCCCAAGAAGGACCACTTTCTATCTTTCTCAACTCTGTATCCCAAATGCTTAGCATAAAGTCGGTAGGCCATCAAGAAATACCTGTAGACAGACAGCTGGGCATCAGTGGTTCATGCCTATAATACTAGCTAATCAGGAAGCAGAGATCAGGAGGATCACGGTTTGAGGCCAGGCTGGACAAAATGAAAGTGAGACCCCCATCTCAAAAACACTCAACACAAAAAAGGGCTGGTAGGGTGGCTCAAGTGGTAGAGCAACTGCCTAGCAAGTATGAGGCTCTGAGATCAAACCTACTACTGCAAAAAAGAAAAATCTGTAGGAAGAAAGAAAGAAAGAAAAGTAGAGCCATCTGAAGGACAGTGTAGTGGCCACAGCAGCAAAGCCCTCGATATTCTATATTATTATTTTTAACATCAGCATTATGAAACAGAATTCTTACACCACACAATTCACCCGTGAGAATTGTGCAATTCCATAGAATACTAGACAAGCACTCTACCACGAAGCAACAGCCCCAGGTACCACTGAAAAGTTTTGAGCAGGATCGCAGACTTAAAAAGTTCACTCACTTGCTAGGCAGGTGCTCTACCAATTGAGCTACTCTGCCAGCCCAGAAAACTTGCACCATTTTTTATACTGCAAGTGTGCAGGCCAAGCCTGATGCAAACATGGCTTGGAGGGATAGGAGAGCAAGTAGGTTTTGCTCCTTTTCAAAATCAGAGTGACTTAAGTGGTAGAGCATCTGCTTAGCAAGCCTATCAAGTGTGAGGCACTGAGTTCAAACCCCAGTACTGCTAAAACCAAAAAGCAGCAAAAGAAGAAAAGTACTTAAGCTTGGCACTGGTGGCTCATGCCTTTAATCCTAGCTATTCAGGAGGGAGAAATCAGAAGGATCACAGTTTGAAGCAACCCCAGGCAACTAGTTTGCAAGACTCTGTCTCAAAAATCCCATAAAGTAAAAAAGGGCTGGTGGAGTGGCTCAAGACATAGGTCCTGAGTTCAAGCTCCAGTACTGCAAAAAAAAAAAAAAAAAAGAAGAAAGAAAGAAAGAAAAAAAATCCCCTTATCCCGTTGACACACCTTTCCCCTCACTTAAAAATGAAGAGAGACAATTGATTCTCCTGCGGAGAGTAGCTTTCTTCTCCTAAAATATTGGGGACATGCAAGAGGGTAAAAGTCCTGGGAGGGGGCTGTCGTCTTGTGCAGTGGGTGAGGAGGTGGAGTGAAGGCAGGACGTGAAGGTAAGTGTTATCACTTTCCATCTGAGGTCCTTCTCCACGAGGTGATAAACTATCAAAAATGGCTTCCTGTTGATGGCACAGATGCTATAACTTCCTTTATCACTGTTCTGATCTCCCCTTGCGTCCTACCTTTGGGGCTGGAGTCTGTCAGCTGAAAGCAGAAAGAAGGGGGCCACACAGGGCCTGGCAGAGGGAGCACTGGAGAGGGGAGTCCCAGGGGAGACCCATTCCATTCCCAGTGGCCTCCTGCAGGAGTCAGTGACATGCCTTTGTAAGCTCTGGCCTTTTCTCCTATGACGAGGACTCTTACGTAGCTACAGAGTGTGTGTAAGATGCGTGCATGTGCCACATCACGCAACTGTATGCAACATGGCACTGTCATTCACTCACTCATCGATCCACGGCCACAATCATTTGTTGAGTGCCTACTGGGTACAGGCAGAGTTCTGGCAAGTAGGCTACAGAAAGGAATGAGTTGTAGATTCTTAATGATTCTTACTCTGCTATTTAGAGCAGGCTCGTGAATGACGCCTAATAACAAAGTCATGACCTTTTTAGAGCAGAAGGAATGATGGAAATGATTGGCTCAAAACTCCTTATAGGGGTTGGGGGTGTAGCTCAGTGTGGAGCGTGTGCTTAGTGTGTGCAAGGCTCTGGGCTCTATCCCCACCATCAATCAACCAACAAACAAATGAAAAATGATACACGAGGAACATGTAGTCCAGCAAGGATAAAGGCCTCCGGTCTCCAGACACGGAGGCTCAGGTCAACTGGAGTTTCCACTAAACTCCAGTACCTTGGACCAGGCTGACAAAGGCCACGTGTGTCACTACAACACTGCCCAAAAGCGTGCAAAGGTGTACCCACTAAATAAATGTACCACCATTTCTGACACATGCTCAACACACCCTGTCCTCATCCCCAGTTAAATGAGGAACTATAAAACCGTATGTGGAGGACCTGGTATACATGGTGTTCAGAGATCTGAAATACAGACATGGCACGGTGAGCCTCAGGCAGCATCATGGAAGGTTCTGGTCACAGTGGTCACAGGAAGACTAGAACACTGTGGCTGTTACCCAAGTTGGGCTGTTGCCACATCTATGGAAACGGGTAACGGAAGTAGCAAGTCAAGAATCTTGGCTTGGTTTCCACAGGTTAATGGAAGCTTGAGTTAATTACTTAGAGTCCATGGCTGAGTCTAGAGCAAAGAGAAGTATGTTGATCACGGCCAGGCAAGCTTGGAGGGCATGAAGGGTCCAGTAAGGAAAGCAGTGGGCCCAGTTGCTAGTGTCTCTAAAATCCTGGGTGATAAAGGATTGCATGTTGCTGACATAAACCACAAAAGGAAAGAAAACTGCAGAGCAGACATAATCCACAGAGCTGTGATCATCAACGGGTCCCTAAACACTGAAAAGACCTCAACCCATGGGTGGCTGTCTCACCCCCATTTAAAGAATACAAATGCTAGTGACTACCATTTGCTGTTTGCCACACAAAGAACCCTCTGTTAAGAACTTTGCAAACTCGTTAAACAACCTTATGAGACATTAAAATTAGGTATTTTTTTATTAACCAAATTTCACAGATAAAAACTCAGGATCAGAGAGCTTAAGTATCTTTTCCTAAGTCAGTTAGCTGCTAAGTGATGGAGCCAGGACTCAAAAGTCCTCATCCATCTGTTCAGAAGCCATTATTCTACTTGGCCAACTTGTTCCGAGCAGGGGAAATAAAGGCTTTTAAAGTCCTGCTTTCCTTATCTGTTTTGTATCAGGGTTATTACATCTTCCTCCCGTTCTTCATTCTCAAGTGTAGATCGTAGGGTTTTAGCCTAAGATCCTAAAATGCCTAAAGTCCACCCTTTTTTCCCTTCCTGGCACTGTGTCTCATGCAAACCGTAAAAACCAAATTAGGTTAGTCTCATTGATGCTTGTTGGCTGCAGAGTTGTCCTTGAAAGTTATCCTTCCTCATCCATCACCCTTTATCTCATTCGCACTTATTTATATATATAATTTTTTTTGAGACAGGGTCTCCCTATGTAGCCCACCTGGCTTCAAACCTGTGATCCTCCTGCCTCTGCCTCCAAAGTGCTGGGATTACAGGCAGGTACCACCATTCCCACCTTCCATCTGAACTCTTAATCTACAAACACATCAGGTATAGATTCAGAGACCAGCTACATTGGAAGGGAACTTTGCTAACAGCTAAAGATCTGCTTCTTCATTCTACAGAGGAAGAACATGAGTCCCGCAAGGGGAAGTGAGCTGTGAGCTCATATAGCAAGTTGGTGTTAGAGCTGGGACTTGAACCTAGGCCTCTTTATTCCTCCCCAAGTGCTCTTTCCACAATACGGCACTTGTGCACATTCACAGTATTCTAACATGTACACTCAGGGAGAGAGAGGCCACTAATCTGCCCCATCAACATGAGCTGTCTGCATGGGGGAGCAAGGCAGAGCGGCCCACAGAGGCAGGAGGTGTTATCTGTCGCACGTCTGCTTCACTCATCTGAGCTAGATTGCTATCTTCCTGGGGGGCAGGGGCAGCACCCGCCTTGTTGGAAATGATGAAACATTTTTGACCAACTTCCAGTGACGGAGAAGGTTCCGGGTGCAGCTGGTGGGGGCCGTTTCCATCTGGACCTTTCTGCAACCTAGGCTGGGATCAGACCTTGCCCATGGCCCCAGAGGTAAGTACTGTGTGCGTAGTTGGACTTGAAATTGGTTTGTAGGTTATGTGCTTGTGTGTGAGCATGCATGTAAAGAAGCTCAGACAGGATTCTTCCTTTCTGTGTTGGAATTCCAACCTGCAATCCACTTGGAGTGAACCTGAGATTCAGCAGTTTGAACTTTCTGGAGGTTAATCTCTTGTTCTGAGCCTCCAGACCTGTCTGCATTAGCAGATACAGCCATTAGGGTTCTGGTGAGAGTATGGGTTTTGCATCCAGAAAAAAATTGGTTTCAAAATCCCACTCTGCTAATTTTTGGTGAGTCTCGGTTTCCTCATCTGTAAATTGGGTGTGGGAACACTCGCCTTACAGGGTTGCTATAAGGATTCAGACATGCACACTCAGTACCAGTGCAGCACTCCATCTGCAGGAGCTGCTGACTTTTCTTTTCATGTCAGGGAAAACCTCTCCTCAGGGGTGCTTTTCTTGAGATGTGTCTAGAGCTGCAAAGGCCTAGTTGTGTGTGCATGTGGCAGTAAGAGGGTCGCCTGGGAGCGTAGCAGAAATGTCAGGAGAAAAGTCAGAAGACATGTACTATCAGAGGGAAGCCGTGCCAACACCTGGCCAAGGAAAACTGACAGCCACAGAAATCAGTCACAGTTGCCCCTTCAGTCGAGCTGACTGTGCCTGGAACAATTCCAAGAGCTTCACGTGGATGAACTCAGGCGATCCTTACACCCAAAGTAGGTAGGAGATATGAGAAGTGTCTTTACAGTTGAAGAAACTGAGGCACCACATCATTAGTGACTTGACTGAATCTGCATGAGGAAGCCCTTCTGAGGACCCTAACACAGGGTGCTGAGCGCAGGCCCTTCTTCATCTCCCTAGCCTAGAAGGGGTACAGGGGTCCAGTGCTCAGAGGTAGGGGTTAGGTGACAAGAAGGCTGGCTGATTGGCTGACCCTGCACCTTGTGCTATGAATTGGCCTCGTTGTGTGAGCTTTGGCACCACTATGGTGCCTTCAGTGGAACCAGCTACATAGTTGGTAAGGCCCCAGTGCAAAATGAAAGACAGGGGTTCCTTGTTCAGAAATTCTTAAGAATTTAAAGATGAGAGGAGCAAAGCATTAAGACACTCATGGGGCCCTTGGGAGCATGGGGCCATACTGGACTGCAAGCCCATGAAGCCAGCCCCAGCCCTGGGTTCTGACAATGAGGCAGGGACAATGCTAGAATGTTCTATGATCTCGTGAAGCCCTCTGCAAGGGAGACACTTGTCGTCCCAGACTTGGGGCTCGTGGGAGGCTCCCCTCAAGAGTAAACAGTGTTTATTATGCAAAAATCAATCTAATGTCAATGTGTACAGAGTGTTTCTATGTGCCCCCTACCCACTACAGTGTGGCTAAGAATGGTGGTTCACGCCTGTAATCCTAGCTACTCAGGAGGCAGAGATCAGGAGGACTGTGGTTTGAAGCCAGCCCCAGGAAAATAGTTCATGAGACCCTATCTCAAATAAACCCATTTTGAAAAGGGTTTCTAGAGTAGCTGAAGTGGTAAAACACCTGCTTAGCAAGCATGAGGCCCTGAGTTCAAACCCCAGTACCCAGAAAAATAACAACAATTTTTTAAAATGGCAGTGTTGGCACCTAGAAATTCAGCCAGGATGGTACACTTGGTGCATGTGAACCACGCATAAATGTGGGATTGATTGGAATGCAAACATTTAGCTGGTTCTAATTTAGCAATGTTCTTAATCACAGGGAAAAATATGATTCATGTACGTAAATTTGGTGTCATACTAATTTAAGGCCCTCAGCAAAACCTGGGCTTGTTTCAGTGTCTAAATTTATTCTGACTATACTTAATAACAATGGATTTATTATCAAAAACTGCCAAGACAGTAAATTTTTGGTGTTTTCATCATAAAAAATTTAAAGTAGGTGAAGTAACATTTATGTTAATTAATTAAATTTAGCCATTCTTCAAAGTATACATATTTCAAAATGAGATATTGAGCTAGGTGCCAATGGCTCAAGCCTGTAATCCTAGCTACTTAGGAGGCTGAGATTGGGAGAATTGTGGTTTGAGACCAGCCCAGGCAAATAGTTTGTGAGACCCCCGTCTCCAAAATAACCAGAACAAAATGGGCTGGAGGTGTGGCTCAAGTAATAAAGTGACTGCTTTATAAGTGCAAAGCCCTGATTTAAAAAAAAAAAACCCACAAGATATTGTACACAGTGACCATATTTACTTTTTTCAATTAAAAAATAATTTAGAGCCAAGCATCGTGGTGTATGCTTGTAATTCCAGTACTTGGAAGGCTGAAGCCAGAGGATTACAAGCTTGAGGGCACTGCCTGGGCTATGTAGAGAGAACCTGCCTCAAAAAACTATAATAATAATAATGATATAATTTAGGGGCTGAGGGTATAGATCATGGTAGAGCAAGTGCTCACATGCACACGGTCTTGGGTTTAATCTCCCATACGCACACGCACACACACGCACACACACACACACACACACACACACACAAAAAATAAATAAATAAAATTACTTAAAATTTTTTTCCTAATAGGAAAAAATGCACGTTAATTACTGAAAATTTTGAGCAGAACAGACAGCACAAAGATGGAATTGAAATGCCTTCACAACCCCAACCCCAGTTTTGGTAACACTTAAGTATATTTTCTTCCTTCCCCTTTATGAAAAAAGTACATTTAATTAACATCCCACTTTATTTTCCTTAAATTTATATTTGTGACTAGATTTATATTTGATACACAAACCTATATTTGACATTGTGGACTTGGTGAGCCGGCTGGGTTACTATGGAGCTAGTGGGACAGTGACAGAAGCTGAAGAGCCAGAGTCTTCTCTTTGTAAATGGCACTCTTTGCACGTTTACTTTTGACTGAGGTCTGAGCAGATTGGGTGTCACCAAATGCTCCTGCTTTCTGCTTTTCCACAGAACAGATTCCTTTCTCTAGTGAATTCTTCCTAGATGTAATTTTAAGCGGCCATATTAATTTCCATCTGATGTCTTAACCCTAATTAATTTAGTTTTTGTTTCTATTTAAGTTGTTTCCTACTTTTTAAATTTAGATTGCTGGTGGATATTCTGCCCCACACCCTTTCCTCCCACCCCGACCAGGCTTTTCTCATAACACATATTTAAAAACACAGATGCAAACTCTTTAAGATTATGGTTTGCCATGCTCATTCCAGGCTTTTAAAAATCTACTTGCCTTTATATTTTATTTTAACATACAATATTTAATATTTTAGAGGCAAATCTATTTTTCATATATTCTTATATTTTCATGTTCTCTTATATTGTATATAAACTGAGAAGTTTTCTGTCGTGGGAGTTTAATAAATATTGTTTAATAGATGAATATTTAATTCTATTCCCTTATAATTTTGATGGCTCAACGTAAACATATTTCCCTCCTTAATTTCTTTGGAATTAATTTTGCTATGCAGAGCATGGACCTAGTTTTCTTTCTCCTTACAGTAACTAAGCCATTGTCCTGGGCGCAAACTTGTCAAATACTCTTTTCCTTTCCTCCACTTGCCTTGCAAACCATTCGTGGTATGTTTATAGCACACACGCATATCTTCACGTCTACTCTTAAAAAGTGCTACTCAGAAACCTGCCTTCTCACAGTCCCTTTCAAACATGATCGGACTGTTCTTGACTGTTACTATTTTCCCCAGACAAACGTTAGAATAATGTGGAGTTATAAAAAAAGCCCTCACTATAATTTTTATTGGAATTATACCGAGCCAATGAATTCATTTCAAGTAGCTGTGGCTTCACAGTCTGAAACATCACACGTCTTCCTGTTAAAGTCTATGGTTCTCAGTAAATTTCTATTATTTTCTTTCAAATAACTTTCTTGTAATTAAGACTAATTTTAGATATTTCTGTTGTGATGGTTGTTAAATCTCACAGTATTTTTTTTTCCACTGTTTCCTAGTATGACAGAAAGGACAGCTTGCAATTTTAAATATTTATCACGGCTATATCTCTTTACCAAGCAGCCTCATTAATTCTATTCATTTGGCAATGATTCTTTTGGGATTTCTAGGTATATGATCACACATTTTGCAAATAAGTGTGAATTTGATTTCTCCTTGCTCAAAACTATACTCTCACTTCTTTAACATGTTTGTAATAACTTGGGTTCCAGTAGCAGCCTGCCCGAGCACAAACCCTTTTTTTGTTTTTGTTTTTACTTTGGAGCTTGTTGACCCACCTGTTTTAGTTTTGGCTCCTTTTAATTGAAAATAACCTCCTTGGGTGGTTGTGAGAATTAAATGAATTAATCTTTGCAAAAGTGTCTGCCACATTGATCACGCTCAACAAATATCAGGATCCCGTGTATTGCTACTGTGCTATCAGAGGTTGGAACCTCCAGGAATTAAATTTCTGGCACTCATTTCTACAAGTGGTTATACTAGACATCTTTGTCTTCAGTAACTACTAAAATACTTGACCATCGTTATCAGTGCGGGATGAATACTCTTTGTTAGAGTGAGAAGCAATCATACATATTATTTACTTAACCAGAAATGAATATTTGATTTTATCAAGTGCTTTTTGGCACAATCATATTTGTGTTACATAAAAGGTAGTTCCCTGTGATGGCTGAGATGGGGCTGCTGGGTCTGATGTCTTTGAAGCTTGCCTCTAAGCTGGGTCCAAGGCAAATTGTTCAACCTCTCTACGTCTTGTTTTCCTTGTCTATGAAATGGTGACAGTGTCTGTTCTTATAAATTGTTGAACTTTACAATAGAAACTCGATGTTTGTTTCTATTACTGTAACATTTAATCTACTAGACATGCCTGGACGAAGTTCTGAAAATTTACTTCCGTAAATATATTTGTGAGATGAACCTGGAGATTTTCCCATGCTTCTGTGTGCCCTGAATTGTGTTTTATTTGTAAGAATTATGTGTTCCTTAAAACTCCGAAGTAACTTATTTATACAACCACCTAGGACAGAGCTTTTGGGAAGCTACTCCATGTTCTTCATGTGTAAATAATAGTAATAGCTGGTGTTTATTGACTGCGTATTGCTACCTGTCCACAGCCTTAACAAACATCTCATGTACCTGGCCATCCTCAGAAGCAGGAACCATTTCTACCTGTCTTGCTAATCCTGTGTGAGTCGTTACCAGTCCCCTCTCACCTGTGAGAAGACAGAGGCTTGGAGAGGTTAAGTAACAAGGCTTACTCGGCCTGGCTCCAAGTTCCTTGCCTTCAACAGCTGATTACTGTGCTCGCCACGCTTCACTGATTGTTTTGGTTTGGCTTTGGTCTGTTTAAGTTCGGTGCCTTATGCAATCAATCTTGCTAATTTATATTTTTTAGGAAATCATTGATTTTACGAATAAGTCTTAGTACTTTTATAGGTTTTTTTATTTGTTTGGTTGGGTTTGAGGGGGTTATTTATTTATTTTGGTGATACTGGGATTTGAACTCAGGGTCTCAGGCTTGTTAGGCAGGTGCTCTACCACTTGAGCCACAGCAGCCCTTTTTTGCTTTAATTACTTATTATGTAGGATCTTCCATTTTTGCCCGGTGCTGGTTTAGGACAACAAATTATACACAGCCTCTGGTGTAGCTGGGATCACAGGTGCTCACTACCACACCCAGCTTATTGATTGAGATAGGGCTTCACTAACTTTTTGCCTGGGCTGGCCTCAAGCCATCATCCTCCCAATCTCTGCCTCCCAAGTAGCTGGGATTATAGCCATGAATCACTGTACCCAGCCTGCTCAGAGTTTTCGATCTCTTCTTTTTCTGTGGCTGTAGTGTCCCCATGTCACTCATATGATTTACTTGTGCTTCCTCCTTTTCTTGGTTATTTGAAAGAGCATGTTAAATTGGGAGAGAAAAGTCAAGAAGTTTTAGAGGCTGGATGATATAAAATAGAAGTAAAGATTTAGTTTCTTTTTAACTCTTTCCCATACAGCTTTACATCCCTCTGTCTTCTTCCAACCCGGCCTTTAAGACCTAGAAAGCTTAGGACTAGAAAGAACCTTAGGAGTGTTTGGCTGAATTCCCTAAGTCACCAAGGCCTCCAGAAGACTTCTACCTTTCCGAGTTCACACCATTAGTAAGTCACGGAGCAGTTAGACCTCCAGGGAGAAGCTGTCCCTTGTGGTGAGGGGCTGTTAGCCACTTAATAATTTCAAGTATTTTTTCCAGTACTGGGGACCGAACCCAGAGCCTTGCACATGCTAGGCAAGCACTTTACCACTGAGCTACACCCCCAGCCTCCACTGGCCACTTAATGACATCCGTCATGGTGTTCATAGCTCATCTCATCCTGGATCTTATCTTCAACCTATATTCAAAACAAGCGCCTACATTTCCCAAAGTACATACACCAACCCAATTTTTAACAGCTCGGCTCTAGTCACGATGGTGGGGGAGTGTTTAAAGTTGAGTAATGCCTAAGGTTTCCGTGTGCTTCCCGTGGGCCTGGCGTTGCATAAAAGACTTTCCAAACAGCTTAAATCATTGAACCTACACGAGAACTCTGTGGGGTAAATACTGTCATTCTTCCCACTTTGTAGATATAGAAACCGAGGCACTGAGAAATTCAGTAATTTACACCTAGAACGGGACAGAGCTCTATTTAGATCTCTTTGATGGCTGCTTTCATTCTGCAGCCACCGGCTGTGTTGGCATATTTGGCAAGCAATATGCTCCTAATATATTAAATGGTGGAGCTGGACTCAGGTGGCTCAAGCCTGTAATCCTAGCCACTCACGAGGCAAAGAGCAGGAGGATCGAGGTTCAAGGCCAGCCTGGGCAAATCATTCATGAGACCCTATCTCGAAATAACCCTTCCCCAAAAAAAAGGGCTGGTGGAGTGGCCCAAGTGATAGTGTGCCTGCCTAGAAGGTATGAAGCCCTGACTTCAAACCTCAGTACCACCAAAAAACAATAAAACAAAAAGAGCAAGGGGGTGGGAGAGGGAGAGGGCGGAGGGCAGGGTGGAGAAATGGCCCAAACAATGGATGGACATGTGAATAAATGAATAAAAAAAAAAAGAGCCAAAATAAGATAATGGTTTTAAAATGGGACATTTATCCAAAGAAGTGATTTTCAACTAAGAATGACTTCCTCTTACAGGGGGCATTTAGGAATGTGTGGTGCAGTTTTTGGTTATTTTGGTTGTTACATTGACCTGTTACATTGGTGGGCTTCCCGGATGCTTCATGCCTTGTAGTGCGCAAAGCAGTGCTAGATACAGAGGACTTGTTCTGCCCCAAACGTCAGATCCCACTGAGAAACGCGATGGAGCAGGGCTCAGAGTTGGCCCCCAGTATTGTAGGTGCTGCACCCGCGGGTTCACCCAACTGCAAATGAAGATATTTGAAAAACAAATGGTGACTGTACTGAAAGTGTATAGACTGCCTTTCTCGTCATTATTCTCTAAACAAAAGGGTATAAAAACTATTTACACAGCACCAACATCGTATTAGGCATTGTAAAAATGCAGAGATGACTGAAAGTACAGGAGCTTGATGCATAGGTTATATGAAAATAGAATGCCATTTTACGTAGTGGATTTGAGCATCCAGATTTCTGTAGCCATAAGGAGGTCCTGGATCCAGATGCCTGAAGATCAAGGGACAACTATAATTTTTTTTTTCATTTTTCTTTTATTATTCATATGTGCATACAAGGCTTGGTTCATTTCTCCCCCCTGCCCCCACCCCCTCCCTTACCACCCACTCCACCCCCTCCCGCTCCCCCCCTCAATACCCAGCAGAAACTATTTTGCCCTTATCTCTAATTTTGTTGTAGAGAGAGTATAAGCAATAATAGGAAGGAACAAGGGGTTTTGCTGGTTGAGATAAGGATAGCTATACAGGGCATTGACTCACATTGATTTCCTGTGCGTGGGTGTTACCTTCTAGGTTAATTCTTTTTGATCTAACCTTTTCTCTAGTTCCTGGTCCCCTTTTCCTATTGGCCTCAGTTGCTTTAAGGTATCTGCTTTAGTTTCTCTGCATTAAGGGCAACAAATGCTAGCTAGTTTTTTAGGTGTCTTACCTATCCTCACCCCTCCCTTGTGTGCTCTCACTTTTATCATGTGCTCATAGTCCAATCCCTTGTTGTGTTTGCCCTTGATCTAATGTCCGCATATGAGGGAGAACATACGATGTTTGGTCTTTTGGGCCAGGCTAACCTCACTCAGAATGATGTTCTCCAGTTCCATCCATTTACCAGCGAATGATAACATTTCGTTCTTCTTCATGGCTGCATAGAATTCCATTGTGTATAGATACCACATTTTCTTAATCCATTCGTCAGTGGTGGGGCATCTTGGCTGTTTCCATAACTTGGCTATTGTGAATAGTGCCGCAATAAACATGGATGTGCAGGTGCCTCTGGAGTAACAGTCTTTTGGGTATATCCCCAAGAGTGGTATTGCTGGATCAAATGGTAGATCGATGTCCAGCTTTTTAAGTATCCTCCAAATTTTTTTCCAGAGTGGTTATACTAGTTTACATTCCCACCAACAGTGTAAGAGGGTTCCTTTTTCCCCGCATCCTCGCCAACACCTGTTGTTGGCGGTGTTGCTGATGATGGCTATTCTAACAGGGGTGAGGTGGAATCTTAGTGTGGTTTTAATTTGCATTTCCTTTATTGCTAAAGATGGTGAGCATTTTTTCATGTGTTTTCTGGCCATTTGAATTTCTTCTTTTGAGAAAGTTCTGTTTAGTGGGACAACTATAATTTTAAATGCTGCTACACAACTCAGCCGTGGCAAACTCCAATGCGGTCAGGGGTCAGCTGGCCACTGAAGAGAGCTCTTGCCACGTTTGGGCAACCAAATCAAAATCCTCAGAGTGTAACATTGAATAAAAATCACCTCTGTGCTGAATTTTGTCCATGGGTGCCCAGGTAGAAGCTTCTGAGTGGAGGTTTTTCTGATCTGCAAATATGTTTACAATATGTTGAAGGGAAAACTACTAATCTTCAAACAGATCGTATACATATTTACCCGTATTTGTACATACACCTGTATACGGGGTATACATGTATACAGACATGCAATGAAATGTTCCTAAAAGTTTTTGGTAGGATATGGACAAAGGTTTGAGGTGATTTTGTAAAATGATTTTCGCATTCATATTTTTAGTTCTTCCTTTACAAATATATACTAGTTGTGTAACTTTTAATAAATGAAGTAGGAGAAGAGGCAAGTGTGGTGCGCCTACACCTTTTATTCCAGCCATGGGGAGTCTGAGGCAGGAGGATTGCAAGCTATATAGTGACACTCTGTCTCAATAAATAAGCAAACAAATTAAATAAATAGGAAAAGAGTCTTTAAACTTTAAAAACACATTGTATGCTGTCAGAGCATGGCCTGGCAACTCACTTATATGGGTTCCTGCATGGGTTCTCTCACCAGCCCCATAGGGAACTAAGGACAGGTCTCCTGCAGGAAGACTGGAGCGGTCCAGATGTTAACAACATGACTTTGTGCTGCTTCTTGGTACTACAGTGACAGGTACTGGGACAATGAGAAGGGCTCCATCCTAGAGAGGAAGGGGAAGGCTCCCATTTAGGACTTTCTCACATTTTGTTGTTCCTCCCCTCCTTGCCCCGCCCTGCCATCTCTCATGCCAAATTACACAAAACGAGGAGCTTATGTCTGGATCCTGAATCTGCCTCATTGCAGGTGATGTTACGTGCACTCTGTTCATTTATGTGAAAAGTAAAGGGTGGACATAGTTAGAGTCCTTTGACAGAAGAGTCTAGAACTGACCATGTAGGAAAGAGAGAGGTTACGCAAGCAGGATGAATAAACTGAGCACGTGTTGCTGGCAGCTGTTGACCTCTCTCCAAAGAAGACTCACCTCAAGGACTGGCTGGTTGCTGTGTGAAAAGCATATGAAGAGACAGCGCCATTCTCTCTCTAGGGAAACAGGGCCATGGAAAAGCAGGGATGGTAATCCTGTAGCCCCCTCCCCATCACCTCTCTCTTCTCTTCCCTCCCTCCATCCTAATCCCCGCCCCCCCTTTCCTGACTCTTGGTGCAGGTTTTGATCTTAGGAAAACCCAGTGAGAGAATTACAAATAAAAACTCAGGACTTCTCACATTGCCTTTTGCACTTGGAAACCCTGACTGGGAAAATAAGCATTTATGACCATCAAGGGCTCTTTAAAGTTTATAGTCGGCCACAGGAAGGACAGACAGTCTGTGGGTGAGTGGGTGGCCTCATCTCAGGGCTCAGTAATTACTATTTCAAAGGCTTTGAAATGATCTTACCTTTGCTTACAGAAAATGCCACAGTTTGGTGGAATTCGTGCACGGATTCTTAAATTTTATTTATTTATTTGTGGTGCTGGGGATCAAACCCAGAACCTCGCACATGCTAGCCAAGTACTCTCCTACTAACCTACATCCCCAGACCTTTAAAAAAATTTTTTTTTGTGATTTGAACTTAAGGCCTCACACTTCCTAGGCAGGTGCTGTACCACTTGAGCCACTCTACCAGTCCTACTATTTTTATTTGGGGATAGGGTATGGCTATATAGCCCAGGCCAGCTTCCAACTCCCACTCACCTGCCTCAGCCTCCCAAGTGCTGGAAATACAGGCATATACCACCATGCAAGGCGGATTTTTTGAAATACAGATTTGTGAGGGTGTAACAACATCCACAGTCCTAAAGCACACCGAAACTGAGTGGTGTGTGTGTAAGCCTGTGTTTGATGTGTGAGCATTTAACATCTGGATTTCTTCAACAAATCTACACCAATATTAGTGGCTCATCAGGACACCATGTTTCCAGCAGCTTCTTTAGTGTTCTGGGGCACAGAAGCATGGTTGAGTGAGGGCTTAGAGCTCACATGCAGGCCTGGTCACTTGCTGGCTGTCACTTATTGGAGCCTCCTGTTGCTTTGCTCTAAAAGGTTGGTAACTATACCTCACTCATAGGATTATCATCTGAATTAGGAAAGATGGAGATGGAGGATGTGCGACTGTGGTTAGTACTGAGGTTGGCTGGCTAGTAACATGGTTATTATTCTGCATATTCAAAACCTGAAACGTGGGGAGAGATAACCAAACAGTTGATCTTGCCTAAAGGGGGCTAAGGCACAGAGCCGGGAGGCCTGACCTCAGGCCTTGCCTCCCACAGGCCCTAGGAGGATCCTGACAGCAGTATTACCTCCCAGGTTGCTTCCTGCTGCCCCCAGAAGACTCTGCGTCCAACTTACGACTGGCGAGTGCTCAGCCATGAGTATCATGCTGACAGGGTGAGTGGGCCCAAAAAGAGCCAGAGCAGGCCTGTAACCAGGCTAACTGGTGTAGCTGGCTTCCAAGGCAAGCCCACCATCCTTCCTGACTACTCCAGCCGTACTGTCCAGAGAGGCAAAGGGATCTGTCCAAGACACACGGCAATGGAAGATGTCCTCCTCCATTGGGGCAGGAATAGGTTTGCAATTGTTTTAACATCTCTGCCACCTCTGACTTTGACCTGTCTTCTTTCCCAACAGCGATATGGAGCTCTGGCATGGCTTAGTGATTGCAGCAGCATCCCTTTTCCTCCATTCCTGCCTCCTCATAGCCATCACTTACCTGCTCAGAAGACACATAGGTAACTGGTTAAGCCTCCTTGCTCCTCCTGGTCCCCTTCAGAGCCATTTCCAGTGAGACCCCTGGAGCTCCTGAGTATCCCTTGAAAACCAACCTGAGGACCCACTGTGTAGAGTACTTGCCACTCTGACCTTTGCCAATCCATACTGGGTAATCCCCACTCTGAGCTGCCTTTCACCAGACCTAGTCCTGGTTTGCAATGATTGCCTGGCTCCTTCTACGCTGGACCTCATGCCTGAAGATGGGCCTCTGCTAGGCTGGTATGGGAGGGCTCTTTCCTTTGTGCCTAACTTTCGTCCTCATGCCAAAGGGCTGTCCTTGAAGAATGGCCTGGAATGGCAACAGAGAGAAATATGAACTGACATAGAGTAGAAGGTAGAGAAGCTCTGTCCTGGGAAAGCATTCCAATTGGGGGAAACAAAACAGTGCTGCTCTGACTGTGCAAAGATGGTGGCGGGGTGGTGGTGGTGGTGGGTGGACAGGATGATGCCTAAAGGGTTTTCCAGGAAAGGAAATCTGGCCTTCTCCATTCACCCCTCATTCATTCATTCAGCAGATGTTTATTGAGCATCTCTAGGCACTCTCTATGTCTAGGCTATACGACAAGAAAAACACAAAATCCCTGCCCTGTGGAACTTCCCACTCATGGGACAACAAGCAAGATAAAGAGGTGACACATGTCTGTGACAGCATGGCACGGGCTAGGGAGAGGGCTGGTAGAGGGACTGAAGTGGTACAGTGCCTGCCCAGCAAGTGCTAGGGAAGAAGCATGAAGCAAGGCAAGGAGACGTGAACTTGGAGGGGACCATCCACGCTGAGATCTGGCCTCTTTGTATAAACTGGGAGGAAGTGAGAAGTGAGCCACACTGCAGAGGCCAAAGGCAAGGGCAGGCTGGACACACAAAGCAAGGGAGGCAAGAGTAAGTCCAGAGAGGAGGGGAAGCGAGGTGAGGGCCTCTGAGGCTAGGGCAGGAGCTTTTTCTGCAAGTGAGGCAAGGGTCTGAAGACAAGGGAGGATTCAGAAGCACTTGATTCATTTTACTTTTGACCCTTGCCCTCTGCCTTCCAGCCCACCAGACTGAACGGATACTGAAAGAGACCAGGCTCCAGGCCTGCAGGCCCAGCCCCACCCATTGCTACTCACCTGCTACCAAGGACATGAAGGCAACTTGGACAGGCAGAGGCACCCCTGTGTCTGCTCCCCGTTACAGGAGTGAGTAAGCGGAGGGGGAGAACTTGTCTCAAAGCTTATTGTACCCTGTCTGCATAGCAAAGTGCTTCCCTCCAGCAGCCTGTGTCTGTCCCTGCTGGCCCAAGCTCTGTCTGGGGATTCCTCACCCTTCTTCAGTTCAGGCCTTGGCAGTCTTCCTGTCTAGAAAGGTGCCCATCTTGCCACATGGGTAAGACTTTTTGGCGTTTCCATGGCCTGAGTTCATGCCTGGCCTTGGTCATGTGTGAATGAATGCAGGGGGATTGGGGTGGTCTCTGCTTCTTTGTTTTTTTTTTTTTTTCTTTATGCATTTTCTGCTTCTCTCTTTGTAATACTATGGCACCTTGGGTTCATCCAGCTGATGGGGGAGCTAAGACTTGACACCTCTGCCTATGTTCACCATGGCTCCACTGCACAGTGTACTGTCTGGCCAGTTCATTGACTGGTTCCAGAAACTAGCTCCTTCACACGCCCCATGGTGACACTTCCTTACTGTCTGCAGTCTGCACGATATCTGGGCATTTGAGTTTTGGTGATGGCTTCTTTCTAACTCCTGCTACAAGTAAGCCAACAGGAACAACACCCTCTTGTTTATGTGTGCAGGTCTCCTGCACACAGGGTCTGGTACATGCCTCTGAGCTACATCCTTAGCCCCACTGTCTTGTTTTTTATGTCAAGGGTCAGAGACACAGTGGGTCCATAGTCACCCAAAACTGCGATTTCATCAGCAAGACAGCTGGGGGATGGGAGGTGTGTGGAGGGGTGTAGGGTGCTCAATATCAGAGTTTGCACTTTTTCCACTGGTTTATCTCTTGATTGGGTTGAGTTTGCTCTGTCCTTTTGATTGTATCTCTTCAGTTGAGATAAGGCCTCAATGTCCTGTCTGTGGGAACCAGAGAGTACTGCTTACAGCATCAGAGTGGAGGAGGCACTGCCACCTGCCCCTCCCAGTCCCGACCCTTGGCCCAGAGCATCACTGAGCTTGGCTGGCAGGGGTCTCAGAGATCACTGCTCCACCCTCTTGTTTTACAGAGGACAAAATCCAAGGCACAAAAAGAGATGGGACCTGCTAGAGCTAGTGACAGCTTTAGACTGGAACCTGTGCCTGGAACTTGTGAGGCCAGAGCAGCTTGCATTGGGAACACTGCCTCTGCATGTCCCCGTGGACCTCCCTTTCTGGCGACAGTCCCTCCTAAGCACTGGTGAGCCTGGTGTGCTTGTCATTCTTTTAGATGGAGCCAAATTAAACAGCAGTGCCCAGACTCCTGGCCAAGTTCCTGCCCTTTTTCAGAAGCTCTCCCACCTGCCACTTCCTCTCTTTCTCTTTTGAGGACTGTCTGTATCTCTCTTTCCCGCCCCCTTTGTGTCACTGGCTCTGCCTCTGACTTTGTCCCTATTCTCTCTCCTGTTGTCTCTGTTCCTCTGTTAACACCTCCCTGGCTTGCTTTGAAAGAGAACCCATTTCTCTCTTCCTCCCAGATGACAGCGACACATCCTCAGACAGCTCGCCTCCCACCTGCCAGGTAACCACACTCCTGGTGAGCCCACCCTCCACCTGTAGCCTGGGTTCCTGCTACAAAACAGGGAATTGGGTCCACCCTGGTTATGGAGGTGGGAGCAAGAAAGGGAGGGGGGCCAGTGAGTCCTTACAGCATCCTTAGGTGAAGGTGGTCAGGCTTCTACCCACAATTCCTCATCAGCATGGCTCGCCCACACAAAATGGGTCTGAACTGACCATACATAAAGTCAGAGTGTTAATGGGAGCACCCCTTCTCCCCATACCCCAGTCACTGGGCCAAGATCCACCTAGTCCTGACCTTCCTTGGATTTTGTTTCTGGATCCTTCTTTCTCATTCACCACCTTCTCCCTGCTTATCCTTAAGCCCATTCCCTGCAGACAGGTAGAACAAAATAAACTGGCAATCTTCCTCATTGCCCCGGCCCTGCTCTCAGATACAGCTACCTAGATCTGGGTCCCTTCCCATCAAGCCTTGGGCAAGCCTCTTTGAAAGAGAGTTCAGTCCTGGGGCCCTGCCTTCTCCCACACGTCTCTGCTTTCTTCCTCAGGCCACCAAGGATGTGAATTACACACAAGTGGTCTTTTCAGCCCCTGAAGAACTAAACAAAGAGTCTTTCCTGGACTATGAGGACGTAAAGGAAACCATGGACTATGTCAATGTCAATCCCAAAAGTCATAAACCCAATAACTGGACTTGTCCTACTGTCTCAGAGCCAGTGGAATACACTCAAGTGGCTATGTGAATTCTAGATTTCTTAACGGGATGCAAATCTCTATGGATCTTTGCATTTATTTTGTAGGGGAATTCCTTTACTTAAAAAGTTTTTAAACAATGCATAGGGGAAAAAAATAGGCCCATGCCCCAGTAAGAAAGATCCAATCAGATGTGAGGAAGAACTTCCAATGGAAACATTGGACTAGTAAGAGAACATGGTAAGGTCTTTTTAAAGGTTTTCATCAGCTCTACTGAAGTTCTGTCTGGTGATCTTAAGGTTAAATGACTTCTCTTTGAGCTCTTTAATTATTAGCAACACACAACTTCCTTACAAGTTTTAAATAAAATTGTAACTAGCAGTTCCTTTTTTTTCTCTTGCCTAATCCTGCATGTGGTTCATCAGTGATATATTTTGCTTAGTAATCCTGCTTTGGCCTGAGAATTTCAAATAATTCTTGTAGAAAGCCAACCATGAAACTGGCCTTTGAAGTTGCTGGTTTGCTTTTTTTTTTTATAAGCAAAAGATGACAAATTGAATCCTAGTCAATATCAACCAGCATCATAACTGCTTATTCCAAGGAAACGCTTCCAAGCTTGCATCCAATAAAATCAATATTCTTTCCTGGGTGTTGACTCAATAAAGAATAGCTTTATTTATTTATTTAATAACTGGGGGTGTGGCTCAAGTGGTAGAGCATTTGCAGGAGGCCCTGAGTTCAAAAATGCACCAAGAAGAAAAAAATAAATAAATGAAAGAGAATAACTTATCAGAAACTGGCAGATTGTAAAATATTTAACTGTGAAGTCCAGTCAGTCCCATTAAGTCAGGAACAAAGTAAGTAAAACTGTCCACAGGCCTGCTATTTCTTTATTAGCTAACACTGCTTTAGAAGTTCTATTACGGCAGTAAGACGGCTAACAAGCCATGCGCAGTGGCTGCACCTGTGCGCCTCCCAGCTACTCTGGAGGTGGAGGTGGAAGGACGTGAGTCCTAGAACTGGAGTCCTGTCTGGGCAACCTATCTCTAAATAAATAAATAAGTACTGAAGCTACTGAACAGAGGATAAATTTGTTGTTATTTGTAGATATCCTAGCCTTAGAAAACCATACGGACTTAACTTAAAATGCTTTAAAATTGATAATGTGTATTACCCAGCCACTAGATAAATACACATTTTTTTCCTAGTAGCTAATTAAGACTGGAAGGGAAAAAAATGGTTCGCAAGAAGTAAACAAACACACGTAAAGAATGAAACCCTAGGAGAGCTCCTGGTCAAGTTCAAATTCAGATTAGTGGTGATCAGGTCTTAAAGACTATTAGCTGTGCTCTATCTGCTGGTTGTAATGACCTTCCCAGCTCTGGTGCTGTGGGTAGCTGGCCAGCCTTCACCTTCCTGGTTCCTCATAACCAAGATGAATCTGTAGGGATGGTTCTAGGTTGAATTTTGGGTGATGGAAAGCTTTGCCAGCCTGTTTGTCCCTTCACCTTTAACTCTTATGTTATTCCCCTCCTTGTCAGCTTTACCAAGCTGAGAAAAAGACTCTATTGATTAGCTAGACAGAAGGAGAATAGACATCAACAATAATAGCACTGTCCTTGCATTAAGAAATTAAACTTGCTGGGCATGGTGGTGCATGTCTGTAATCCCATCTACTTAGGAGATAAAGGCAGGAGGCTCTCGAATTCAAGGCCAGCCCAGGCAAAGGGAGTGAGACCTGCCCTCAAAGACAAAATACCAAAAGGCTAGAGCCATAGCTCAAGTGGTGCAATGCTTGACTAGGGTCATGAGTTCAAGCCCCAATACTACCAAAAAAAAAAAAAGAAAGCAAAGAAATGAAATTTCTTAATGATCTCTTTTTAAAAGGGAAAAAATATTCAGGAATGTGCTAAAGAGATTCAGATCACAATAAACATGACCTGTCTTCAGTGGATTCTTTTGCTTGTTTATATTATTTTGTTGAGACAGGCTGTCACCATGTAGCCCAGACAGACCAACTTGAGATCCTCCTGCCTCATCCTTCCTATTGCTGGGATTACAGTCATGAACCACCATGCCTGGCTCAATGAATTCTTATTCTAAAGTAGAAAGCATCCAAATCCCCACCATGGGAGCTGCAGCAAAATTCCACGAGTGTCTTATTAGCTAACCAGACCTACGGAGTGAGGAGGAATTTTATGGTCAACATTAGTAGATCTTTTGCTCCTGGGACCAGAATGAATTGCTGGGCTCAGAGGAGCTCTCAAAAGGCCCATGCCCTCAGTCTCTAAACCAGAACCCAGTGAAGTAACGCCAGCTCTATGGTCTTTTGAGATCCCACTAACTCCTTCAAGCATTTGAGCATAAGTCTCACTGCCTTTCAGGCAGAAATTCCTATGCTCAATGCCATCTCTGCAGGAAAAAAAAACCCTCATTCTTTTCCCTTGCCAAATGCGTCCTCTGTGGGCTTAGAGAGAAGTAAGAGTGTCCTCCTGTCCAGGTATCTCAAGAAAACTGGGTCAGATGAGGGGCTGACACTGTGGGACTTCAGGAGAGGCTGGGTGACTTTCCTTGCCTGTCCCTAGGGGTCATGACTGCTTTGGGCACTCCAGGAGAGGTAGAGGGAATACACTGGATCTCATCAATATTTGGTTGGTGAAGAGACCTCTCTCCCTGATTCTCAGCAGACAGACCTGCCCAGCCCAGCCCAGCCCAGCCCAGACTGACAAGTGCCAGCACATTCAGCTCCACAGTGCCACCTTGTGGCCCCAAGGCAAACTCCAGGACCCTGCTTTCCCCATTTGAGCATAAGAGAAACCATTATGTCTGGTACAGTAGCTCCAGGAAGGTTCTCACCTCACACACACACCTTTGTTCATGAAGGTCACATTTTAATTTTATCTTGCCTAGCCTGTTGTCATTTCCCCTAGGAAATAAAGATGCCCCCAAATTTCCTGGATATTAAAGAGTTTTATTGGTCGATTTCAACCACATCTCCGTGTTCTAGACCCAGAAGTGAACCTGGGCTGAATCTATAGCCCATTGATAGGTAAAAGACCTATGGACATACAAAACACAGAGGCTTCCATCCTGAACTGTAGACTCTCCTGGGCCCAAGGCCATTTGTCACTCACTGGATGCATCTGGAGCCAGCCCATTTTTATTCTCTCCGACATCAGTAGAGAGTTCTATAGCTTACAGTCTTAATAATTCCTCCCAGCGAAGTGGTATTGTTATTTCTTCTTAATAAATGAGGACAGTGTTGCTCAGAGATTGGGTAACTTGCTGGGCTTGTGCAGGTAGAAAAAGGGAGAGATCTGACAGGTTGAGGCAGGAGGACTGAAAGTTCAAGGCCAGCCTGGGCTATATAGCAAGACACTGTCACATAAATGGAAGGAAGGAAGGAAGGAAGGAAAGAAGGAAGGAGGGAGGGAGGGAAGAGGAAGGGAGGGAGGGAGGGAGGGAGGGAAGAGGGAGGGAGGGAGGGAGGAAGGAAGGAAGTTTAGGATGCAGGAGAAGCAGCTTCAACTGCTCTGGCTGGCATAGGGAGGGGGCTCCTAAGCCCAGCTCCACCTGGCAGATGGTCAGGGCTTCCGCCTTGATCCAGCATGCATTTGATTCACAGTGGATGCTCTGTGGAGCCTTGAGGATATCCAAAACCTGTGATTACATCCTCCTTCTTCCAAGAAGAAGGATGTCTTCTTGGAATGTCTCCTCAGCACAGCCCCAGGGAAGAAGTGGTCTGGATCTTTTGGAGGAGGAGGGAGAGAATCAACCCCCAACTGTCTCTGACGTTTGACCCTGCTCCTAATTTTACTGTGACCATTATCACCTCCTTTCCTCTCCTCTTCCTTCCCACCCTCATCCCAGGTGGACCATACCACTGAGGAGCCACACACTTCCCCTTGCCACCCACCCGCGAGGGGTGATGTGGGAGGAAGAGGAATTAGCACTTGCAGAGTTCCCACTAGGTACCAGGTAAGTCCTGCGTCTCCATGAGGCCACCTTCCTCCCATAGACAGGAGGGGAGCAGACCAGGTGAAGCGCCACAGACCCGCTCACCTTTTCTTACTAAATAAATCCTTCCCCTCTTGGCTGGACTGGGATGCACTACTTAGGTTAGAATGGAGACTGGTAGCCACGGTACTGAGTTGCTGCTACCTGGGGACCCCCAGAACGTGCCTTCCTAGGTCTGCCCCAGATCTGGGGCACTAGATCTATGACCCAGGTATGTTCATGGGCGCCATGTGACTATAGCATGACCAGGGAGGAGGGTAGTGTGGCTCTCCTGACTCCCAGCATCTGCGATTGGGAGCTAATGAAGGAAGTCCTCATACTAGGAGTAGCTGCGACACCAGGGGTGGAGGTAACCATCCTGGCCTCTTCATGCTGCCTCAAACCAGGATCCCCATAATGCCAGCTCTGACCTTCCCAGCCCTTACACCCAGTGCCTGAGACAGGCAGAGCACCTCTGCTAGCCAGGGATTCTGCTCTAAACGATGCTGGTCTCAGTTGGGGCCTCCTCTTCCATCTGCTGTACATCTTTCAATGACTCTGCAGGCCCGGGCCTCCCCCCCAGGCCGAGACTGACATTGAGGGTGGGCGGGCAGCTGGAACGGGTCAGCAGCGTGATGTGGCGGCTGGAGAGGCTGGCATTGGAGAGCTGCCTGCAAATGCGGCGCTGGAGACCCCCGCAGCAGGCGAGATGGCGCAGGGGGCGTGGCAGCAGATGGCTGTTGAAGCCCATGTAGATCCAGGGGTTGCAACAGCTGCTGAGGTTGCCCAAAAGCATGGAGATGGTGAAAGCCACGTTGGTGGAATCTGTGGAGAGAGAAGCACAATAAGCCATTCTGAATGACAGTTCAAAGGGACCTGGGAGAGAGGCCAGCCTCCAGTGGGCAGATGAGGAAACTGAGCCCTAGAACCTTTAGGTTCTATTAGAGAGGAGCACAGATGGGACTTGAACCTAGAATGATCGACTCCAGAGTTTTACCTCACTGATTTTTTGGTTTTTTTTGCTTTCTGTTTTGTAACTACAGAGTGAGGATAGGAGCTGAGATTTGCTTTAAGTTGAATTTAGAAGAAGGATAAATATTGTTAGGGTAAGGGCCAACCTAAATAGGAAAAACTAGTTTTATTTTAAACCTAGACTTTGAATCCCCTAACGGATGCAGGTCTAGGACAAGACAATTTCTATAAAACACTCATGGAAAATAACCAAGATCAGACTCTTCCACCTCCATCCCCACTTAAGTTATAGATAATGGCTTCATGTTGCCTTCTGGACTCTGTCTTCCTTCACCCTTCAGGAGCAGTCCCACTCATTCTGTCATTCAGTCATTGAACATATATGAGCACTGACTATGTGCCTGGCTCTGTGCTGGGGACCTGGCAGGGCATAGAGAGAAGTCTGGCTGCCATGCAGGTCCCTCTGTCACCATCTCCAAACACAGCACAAGAGTGACTTCTAGGTACAGGCTAGCGGGCATCTTTGTATCCCACTCCAGACCAGTGCTTGCTGTCTGTGTCCTCAGATTATCCCTAGGGAATGCACCCTCCTGCAGGGAAAAACTAGTATCTCTCTTAGGCAATCAAAATGTAATGGGACAAAATTCTGTTAAGATTCCTTCCAGAACAATCTTCTTTCCAAAGACTGAATGAAACTCTTTCCAACAGGGTACTGGGATGGGCCCTGGCCTCCTGCTTGGATCTACCATGGCTACAGCTTTGGTAGGTAAGGTAGCTTACTGAGTTAACTTGCTCTTTGTGGGGATGTGGAATTGTTGAAAGCAATGTCAGAGATGGAAAGAAACGAATGGGTAAGTTTCCCAATTCTTGTAGCACAGTGAATAAGAACTGCCACTTGAACCCAGGTCTTCCAGCTCTAAGGCAGAGATCTTGCACCCTACAGAGTTTCAATTACCCACATCAAAGGCACAGCTCACATGCCTATTCTTGCAGTGCACTGTGAAAGCTTCCAGCAAACTGGCTCCTCGTTTGTGTCTTCTTTGGGTGTGTTCAAGGTGTGGCCATTTGTAGTCGAAGAGAAAGGAAGACATAGGGTAAGAACAGTTGATAACAGGCACAAGTCACAGCAGGGGAAGCTGAAGCCAACTAGGCCTGAATGGACAAGTTCCCTGGCTTAAGAAACATCTGTTTGGTTTGTTCCGTTTGAGCCAGGCATGTTGTAGGAGCTGGAGATGTGCCACAGGGAAGCATGAAAGTCCACGGCGGGGGGCGGTCTAGCTTCTCAGCCTTGGAGGGCAAGTCCACACCCAGACTCACAGCCTGGAGGTCAGCAGGTCAGCATGCTATGGAGGAGAACTGGGTATACTGCAAAGTAAGCTTAAAGTAGTGAATCTGCCGAGCGGGTTTTTACTTTTCCAAGAGAGCACTTTGTCTATAAGATAACGCTTTGTTCTTGCATTCCTTGCTCAGAGAGGCCCTTGGTAAGTGGCAAATCACTCTGCATAGATGAGGTGTTGGGGACAGGCTCATGGTGATAGTGGATACTGCAGGGAAGGACACACTGATTGGCAAGATCCCCATCTTCTCACTAGTTCCTTAGTAAAGAGCAAATGACCACCTTGATGCTCGTGCCAATGGCTGAGCTGTGATTGCTGGGAGGAAAGCCATGTCGTGGATGAAGGCTGGCCCATAAAAACCCTGATTCAATCCTGCTTTATCTCCTACTAGCAGTGCCATTTGGGCCCAGCTGTTTTTCCTCTCTGAGCCCCAAGGTACTCAGGCATACAATACAGAAAGCCACCCCACAGTAGCATCAGGACTCAATGTAGTTGGCACCCGGAAGCCCTTCTTCCTTCTAGTCTATTCTTGGTTCAAACAGAGAGATCCCTAGCAGTGAGCTAGAGTTAATTTGTTCATTGCTTAAAGGATATTTTGCAAATAGCCACTTGTCCAGACTGATGTTAAAAGGTATACAGAGAAAGGTGCGATAGCACACATCTGTAATCCCAGTACTCAGGTGCAGAGTTAGTTCAAGGCCAGCCTGAGCTGCATAGAGAGAGACCCTGCCTCAACCCTTGGTTGGGGGGGTGTATCTCAGTGGTAGAGCACTTGTCTAGCATGAGCAAGGCCCAAGCACTGCAAAAAAGGGGGAAGGGGACATAATGGGACCATTATTTTTGGTGTAATTTTCACACATCTCTTTCACGGGCAACCTTCTTCTATCTCATGTCTTTAGAAAAGCAAAGTATTTGGCTTGAGTGTGAAATAAGCAAAATGAGATTTAGAACAAAAACTCAGGGGACGGTGACAACTCCCGAAGGGCTGGTAGGAACTGGTAGCCTGAGTCTGCTAGACAGTGAGTTCCAGAGGAAGCCAACAGGACGTCCCTTAGGAAGCATTTGCTTCCTGAACTATGCACATGAGAAGGTGTGCTGCAGCACAGTCAGTCCTATTCACGGTCACCCCAGCAGGTCCTCATGCCCTTGTCCTCATGCCCCTCTCGTCTGAACACTACTCTCCAACACTAAGACCCAGCCTGCCTTCCTGAGAACAAGCTCACATCAGCAGTGTCTGAAGCTCAGGTGTCTGCCTCACTGCAGAAAAATGACCAAAGCAAGGCCTCCCAGGAGCCAAAAGGAACAGAGTCCTCTTGGAAGACCCCATTTGGTTTTCATGTAGGAGGAAGGTCCCTCTCCTCTTGGAGCCACATTTAGAACCAAAGGAAAAAGACAAGGACACGGAGTCCTCCTTTTGCCATTCCTAGCTGGAGTGCCTTGGGAAAGTCATGGTTATTGGCATAAGGAAGAAGCTAAACTTGAGATTTGAGGGTGGTCATGTGCCAACCCTAATTAATTGGGAGTGGCTATTGAGAAGGAGCTCACAGTCAGGTCCAGGTACAGGAAGGAGGTGTGCTAAGAGAGATAGTTCCTTTGCCACACTGCCATCCTGGACTGGATGATGTGAAAACCCCTGTCAGCTCTGTCAGTCTATGGTTCTACAGCCCCTCTAGCAAACTGGAAGTTGGTTGAGCAAACCTGCCAAAATTTATAGGTCATCACACAGTATTTTTAAATTATCAAATTAGTTATCAAAAATTAAAAATCAAGAAATTTCACATAGAAGGTATTTATACAGCATTAGCAGCCTGGGTAGGAGTTATATCTGTCCCTTTTCACATGGGACAGCACCATGGTTTGAGTGCTTATCTCCCAGAATTCATGTGTTGACAATGAACCCCAAAGTTGTATGTTAAAGGCACTTGCAGGGAGGACCTTTGGGAGATGACTGGTCATAGGGGCTCTGCCCATGGATTCATAGGTTAATGAGTTAGTAAGGAAGTGGGTTTGCTATCATAAGAGTGGGTCTTTTAGGAAAACCAATTTGGATCTCTCATGAATCTCCTCACCAGGTGATACCCTTCACCACTTTGGGACTCTTCAGGGAGTCCTCACCAGCAAGAACATCCTCACCAGATGCAGCCCTTTCACCTGGGACTCCCCAGCCTCCAGAATGGTAAAAAATAAATTTCTTTTCTTTATAAATTACTCAGCCTCAGGTATTCAGTTCCAGCAACAGAAAATTGACTAAGACAAATAGGCACCATCTTTTTCATTGCTTCACTCATTTTCACCTGCCTGGCCCTAGGTAGCCTTGTAACCTCTTCCCTAACCATCCTGTCCTCCCTCCCTCCCCACATAGACCACATACTTGCCTTCATCAGGGGCATTCTCATCCCACACAGACCACATCTGGACACTGAAGAAGGGTGCCCAGCAAGCAATGTAGGCCAGCACAATGATGAAGGTCATCTTCACAGTTCGGATCTTGGCCCGAGAGATGGTACTGACGCTGCTGACCCGGGATGGCAGCCCCCGAGATGCTGCAGCTGGAGCAGAAGGTGATGACTTATCCCCAGTCCTCCAGCCCTCTCCTTCCACCCTCCCGGCCTGTGTCTTGACTTTTAGGTTCTTACAGATCTCGTGGCAGATGAGGCTGTAGCAAGCTGTGAGCATAGTTACAGGCAGGACAAAGATGGCTATAGTGGTCCAGGTGATGTAAGCCCGGGGCCCCCAGGAGAAGTGGAAGTCTGCCCAGCAGTCCAGCACCCCCGAGCCCTGGATCACCTCTCGCAAAGAAAAAATAAAGACTTGAGGGAGGCTGAGGATGGCAGCCAGTAGCCAGGGAGCAGCGATGAGTGGGTAGGTGTATTGGCTGGGTTGCTGGAGGCTACGCAGTGGGTGACAGACGGCCAGGTAACGGTCCAGTGTCATGGCCAGCAGCATATAGGTGGAGGCAAGCATGCTGAGCACCTGCAGGTACTTGACAGCCCTGCAAAGGAGGTCGGGGCCCTGGAAGCGGTAGGTGATGTCCCAGAGCAACTGGGGCAGCACCTGGAAGAGTGCCACACCCAGGTCAGTTAGGGCTAGGTGCAGCACAAACAGGTGCATGCGAGAGAGCTTGCGGCTCCGCTGGCCCAGTGTCAGCAGCACAGACAGGTTGCCTCCTGTGGCCAGCACCAGGACAGTAGCAAGAATGCCAATCTCCACCTTGGCGAGCTCCTCATCCCGGCCCAGCCAGAGTGCAGTGGCGTTGGGAGTAGACAGTGTGCTCCTGGGGGTAGGGCTGGGAGCCCACGAAGGCTCAGGATCCATGGTCAAGGTTTACAAGAGGAAGGATGGATGGAGGGTGCAGATGCGAGTGAGAGGTCTGACGAATAAAATGAAGTGGAGAGGGAAAGGCTGAAGATGGAGAGAAAGAAAGGTGGGTATGATGGAGAAGGCTTGAAAATAGTTCAGAGGACAAGGATAGAGAGGAGGAGGAAGAGAAAAAAAAATGGGGCTGAGATCCCTGATCCCATAGAAGGCAGGAGCCCAAGAAAGAAGAAAAGGAAGGTGGGGGGTGGGGGATGACACAGAGAATTAAGGATGAGAAGAACTGGTTGCAGGCGGAGGTGCGGAAAGCAGCTGCCTCCTCTCCCAAATCTACCCCAGGTTCACTTTCTCCAGACTCTTCTGGAAGTGGAAAGCAGACGCCCCTAAGCCTGTTTGAAGGCGCAGTCCAGAGCCACCAGCGTCGCGGGCAGGGCTAGAGCCGCTCGGTGGAGCGCGTTTTATGGGCGTCCAGCCGGGAGTCCGCGGCCGGGGCGTGGCACCTGCAGAGGAGGAGGGCGGAGTGAGGCTCCCAGGCACCCAGCAGGGAGGAGGACCCAGAGGCCCCCTGGGGGAGGGGAGGGAGGAGGGACAGTGGGGGCGATGGACCAGGGGCGGGAACCAAACAAGTGCTCACCAGGCGGCAGGACCCGCCATCCCGCGGACTGACAAAGTCATCTTCGTTGGACCCTGGAGCCTCGGACTCTCTCCGGACAGCTGCACGTCGGTGGATGCATGAAACAGGTGGCCTCTCTTCCCACCCACGCAGGGACCCCCGCAGCCCCGTGGTGTGCACCCTGCGCAGGGCTCCTGTTCAGCCTCTAAGGATCCCAGAGCCACGTCCGACTGCCCACTGTTTCTAGCTGGGACATGCAGCCATGGGGGAGGAATAAAATGCGAGGACTTAGTGGAGAAAGAGAGCTGTAGTTTGTGGGGGAGAGAGAGAGGTCAGAGGGATGGAAGGAGCACACCTGCGCGCCATGATGCGCCCCCAGCGAGGGGACAGAGAGACATTCCAATGAACTATTTGCGTTCCCAAGGGAAGTCTTAACTCCTGGTCTCTCCTGAGTTCCATTCATGAGCGAGGGGCTTCTAAAATCCTAAACGCAGTTAGCCACCCTGTGGGACCGAGAACCGAGCCCAGGAGAGGTTATATAACTTCACCCTAGAAGATTCCAGAACTAGCCAGGAGGAGAGGCAGGATCAGAGCCAGCCCAGGTGCCTTTGCTCCTAGCACAGCGTCTTCACCCAACTTCACCGACATCTGAGGGGTGGCAGGCTCCCTGATGAGGGTGCGAATAAAGTCAACACCGCCTCCCGGAGGAAGCGGATGGCTATGGGAGAAGCTATTGTGGTACATTCACAGGCATCCATTGGCTTATTTGGGACTCTATAGAGCAGGTTAGAAGGTCATTACAAGTGGCACTAGCATGGTCCAAGTACCTCAGGAAGGGTGAATCCGTACTGGTTGGTCCTTTTGTCTTGCCCTTCATCAAACCCAATTCAAGCCCCTCACATATCCTATTAGCATCGCTTCCAGAAAATTCTACCTCCTATACAACCCATAGATTCTCCTTTTGTGCTCTGCAATCCAAGCTTGCACATTCTCAAGGATTTTGCACTATATGAACAATTTATTTTTAGTCTATCTGCCAAACTACCTGTATGCAAGCATGCTCTAACACTTTCCATTAAAAAAAATTCTAATCCTCCCAGATACAATACACCACCTACAGCTATGGCTTCCTCCCCTTCCTACCAAGCCTCTCAAAAGGGTTGTCTATGGTAGTCTCCATTTCTTGCTCTCAATCATCCATTTTTCTTTTATTTTTCTCCTTCCTCCCTTCCCTTCCCCTTCCTCTTTCCCTTCCCCTTCTCTTTCTTTTGTTTTGTTTTTCCTCACAGAGTCTCACTAAGTAGCCCAGGCTGAACTCAAACCTGTACTACAATTGCAAGTTTATACCACAAGGCCTGCCTCTATTCATCCATTTCTGTCTTTCTCTCTCTCTCTCTCTTTCTTTCTTTCTTTCTTTTTGCAGTACTGGGCTTGAACTGAGGGCCTATACCTTGAGCCACTCCACCAGCCCTTTTTTGTGACAGACTTTTTCAAGATAGGGTCTCAGGAACTATTTGCCCAGGCTGGCTTTGAACCACAATCCTCCTGATCTCTGCCTCCTGAGTAGCAAGGATTACAGGCATGAGCCATTGGTGCCCGACTCATGCATTCATGCATTCATTTTTTGATGTACTCTTCTAAATTATATATATATAAACACACACAATTTAAAAAATATTACATGAAGGACGTCATACTATATGTAGCATCACTCTGGAGCTCGCGTTTTAAATTCCACCTTGTTCTTCAGGTCTGTCTATGCTGATACATAGGGTAGAGCTAGTTCGTTCACTGTAATCACTGCGTAGTACTCAAGCATGTGAATATAATTCTCTTTATTTATCCAGAACTCTGTCTGTGTAATTTAGCTTTGCCCCACTATTAATTATTTTTATGTAATTCTTTTATTTTTGATTGACACATAGTAATTGTAAATATGGGCTGAAATGTGATGTTGCTATTCACATACACATATTTTGTTTAAATGCTACAGTGAATGCTCTTATATGTTTCCTTGTGATCTGTGTCAGAATTTCTCTTGGGCAAATATCTAGACGTATATACTACTTGGTATAAGAATCGTTAGGTCATACAGTGCATGAATTTTCAACTAGATAAGCCACCATACCCTAAATTTTTATCTCTAAATTAGTTGTCCCACCTGCTACATTTTTGTTTTCCAACATTCTCATAATGATGCTTTTTAAATGCTGATTGGTTTGATATGTGTGAGACAGCATTTTGTTTTGCTTTTACACTCTGATTAGGAGATACTCATTTTGAGTGTCTTTCCTTATACTTACTTCTTGTTTGGATTTCCTCTTCTATGAATTGCCCATATCTTCTATTTTATTAGCTTGTTTTTCTTATTAATTCACAGAACCTTTCTATATGTTCTGAGATTAATCTTTTTTGCGTTCTTTTATATTGGAAATATCTGCTGTAATCTGTTGCTTACCATTTAACTCTTTATGGTGTCATTCTTACTCAGAAGATTTAAATTATGATGTGATCGATTTTTCTCTTACCATTTCAGCGTTTTGTGCTGTGTTCCTTATCTCCAGAGTAGAAACTCCCTCCATATTTTCTTCTAACAGGTTTAACTTTCACATGTTTAGGTCTACAATCCATTAGGAATTTATTTTTGTGTATGTATGAGGTAGGAATCTAACTTCATTTTTTCCCACATGTCAAACCAATCACTATTTCACTATTTTAGGTCCAATAGCTTTACGATGAAGCTTAATAGTTTTTTAAAAGAGACTCCACCTTGTTCTTATTTTTAAAATGTTGAAATTATAAAATCTGATATCAATTTATCAAGTTCCACAAAGAGTTCTGTTGAGCTTTGGTTGGAAGCATTGAATTTAGAGATTAATTTGGGGAAGAAGCAATGTATTTATGATTTTATTTAGGTCTAATGTCCTTCAATAATATTTTATAACTTCATAAATGTCACAGATTTGTTCCAATGTGGCTTACAGTTTGTTGCCATTAGACATATCATTTTTTCTACCATATTTCCTAATAACTAATTGGTTATTGCTAATATATGAGAACAGTATTGATTTCTGTATTTTTTTCTTTTATTCAGCAGTTTGTAAATGATTTTAGAGTATCTGTGCATACAACACTGTCTTCAAACAACAATAATTTTGTGATTTTTAAAAAATTCCCAACCTATTTAGCTCTTAGTTCTTTTTCCTCTTATGGTGAAGACTCCAGTACAAAGTTGAAGGGCAGGACTTGATGCTTCAAACCTTGATGAGATTGCATTTAGGGTTTCCCCCTAAGCATTATGTTTGTGGTAGGTCCTGTTTACTTTTTAATTTATAAAATACATTTTTACACACATAGGGTACAGCCAAGTGATTCTACAGTAGTTGTTATGTGTAAAAGCAGTTCCCCCATACTATCTTCATTTTCAACTCCCTAGAAGTCATCATTTTCTTCTATTTTAAGTTTATATTAAAGAAAAAATAAATCATATACAAAAGTACAGCAAATAGTATAAGAACACTCCATGTTTCCATTACTCAGATTGCATTATTAGTCAATATTGTTTATCTAAATCTTCATCCCCCTTCACTCCAAGAATATTTTGAAGCAAATGTCAGCTATTATGTCAACTCATTTGCAAATATTTCACATATTTATTTCTAAAGGATAAGGACTCATGTGTGTGTATATGAGTGAGAGAGAGAGAGAGAGAGAGAGCTGAGAAGCGTGAGATTTATTAGAAGGAATTAGCTACAGGATCTGCAGAGGCTGAAAAGTCCCAAGATCTTCAGTCAGTAGTGAGGCTCAGTGGTAGAGCACTTGTGTAGCAGGTGTGAGGCCCCTCAGTTCTAACTGAATGAAGCCCAAGAGCTATTGGCCAGCTGGAGCTCCACTCCAAGTCTGAAGACCTGAAAACCAGAAGAGTTAATGGAGTAAATTCCAGTCTGAAAGCCAGCAGGCTTGAAACCTATGAAGAACTGATTTTTGGGATGGGGGGGTCTCAAAAATGAGATGGGGGTCATTTTGAGTTGATCAACTAGTAAGCCATAAGGTTTACCATTCATTCAAAGGAAGATCAGTCTTTATGTTATATTCATCCTTTAACTGTTTAGGTGTGGCCCATGCACATGGGGAAGGCAATCTATTTTACTCAGTCTACTAAGTTAACTGTTTATTTCACCTCAAATACCTTCCCAGTTATACTTAGAATAATGTTTGACCAAATATCTAGGCACACCTAGATAGTTGATATTGACACACAAAATTAATCATTACAATCTCTAAAACTATTAATAATTCATTAATTTATCAAATAGTCAGCCAGTGCTCATAATTCCTTCATTGTCTAATAAAATGTTTTATTGTCTTAAAACTTTAAGTCAGTTTGTTTGAGTGCAACTTCAAAGAAGAATTGTACATTGGCATTGGTTATTGTGTCTCTTGTCTATTATTTATAGATTTCATTCACATCCTTT